GTGAAGGTACTGTAAACTAGCGCCACTACGATTCAGTTCAGGAGTCATGTCCCGGCTGAAGCCCTTCGCGCTTTGAAAACCCTTCCATTATTCCGAGTTCTATGAGCTGGTGTCAGACTGCTAGGATGAAAACAATGACTTGTACTACGCCGGGCCACCACTGCAAGTCATCGTAGCCACATGCCATATGTGTATAAAATGTTAATGTGACTCCGAGCGGAAGTAAGGTGCATGGCGCATCCCAACAAAGGTTAGTGAAATTCAACTCCACCCTTTTTTCCTTTTGGGAGTGTATGTCATGGACGTTGAAAGCCCCAATGACGACTTGCTTCTCATCATTTTCATGGGGCAAAAGGTGCACGGCGCATCCTCAAAAATGAAAATGAGCAAAGCGATGTGCTTCATTTTCCTTCGATTCCTCATTCTTTCTTGATTCTTTATAAAGCGGAAACATGGGCCATTCAAGAAGGCATGCCTTTCCGTCTCTCAGAGAATGGAAGCCACGAAAAAGCTTGGCCCGAGTCTCAGCCAGTCTCAGCACAACTAAACCTATATATCTCGTTTACCAGTGATATCTCGTCGCTCAGGCACAACTTTACAGCTTGTCAGCATTGATCGGATGACTCTCGCCGATGTTGGCCTCTGATTACGATTGTTGCCTCTTCTTTCTTTCTCCTCCGTGTGCTTTTTGAAAATCGTATCTCCTCAGACTGATCAGAGCTACGCGTTCACCTCTGGCATCAGGCCCATAATGTTTGTTCCAGTTCTGTGGACTCATTCGTGCTCCACAGAATGTCCCCTCGGAATAAAGCTATTTTCTGGAAAAAATTCTAACACCAGAAGCTCACTGAAATAGATCTATCATCGTCATTGACCTTAGGTCTGCTTGGTAATATGTATCTTTTGCGAGTTGTGACTCCATACTTTATTATGAGCCACTGCACTTAATAACTTTGAATATCTCTTATGTAGACTTTACTAACCTATTACTACTAAGCTAAGATTGCAGAGGAGGTAGATGGCATTACATACAGGTCTCACATGACCAGCCAAACATTTCATTTTCAAGAGGTTGACTCAACCATCAGCCAGATCTGCACCCCCTGTTACTGGATTACCCGGATCGCCTATCAGAAACCCGAAAACAGAGGCCTTCAGTTTATCTATGGGCTTCAGACGAGCTCACGGTTTATATATTGACCGCTTGGTTGTGTGCCCGATAGAGAACAATCATGCAACATGGGAACGTTGAATGCTAAATGCCCATTCAAATTGTAAATAGAGCAGTCATGACAATGTTATCATAAACCTTGAGGCCACTGCTTGTGGGCGGGGCGTTTGGCGAGGATATGGTACGGTGGGTGCATCAACACAACTCGCCCCACTTTTGTGATATCGGCAACTTTCTACGGTAACTTCCATTCCGTTTTTAGACTGCTTCGTGCGGGTTGCAAGATCAAATGCTGGCGCATGAGAAATCATACTCACTAATGTCCCTGGTCCCTCTTTTCAGTGATCTCTCTCCCTTTCGTCAAGAATGGTCCTTGATCGACTTCCAGTCAGTTCCATTTCTCACATCTTGATCATTCTCCTCTCCATCACCTTTGGTATCCTTCCTCAAAGTACTCCTTCCGATGCATTCAACTAGACAAATACCAGAGACCAGAATGACTCATGCTAACAGTTACCTGTTTAGTGCATTCTGAAGAAACATTTGCTTCCCGAGTCGGACTGTGATCTTTCAATTTGTCTCATCTTCCCACGAAATGATACGTTCATATATCTTCCCCGTTCTTGCTGTATCTGAGAACTGGGATCGTAATGCTCACGTCACGCTGTCCCAATGCTCAGCAATTCCTTCTGCCTTTTGGATGAGCTAGCCGTCCTGAACGGTCAATGTAATTACCCTCCATTTCGAAACGAACAAGAGGTTGAGTGCAGATCGACCGCACACCACAAGTGATGACGGTCGAGAAAAAAGCAGCCTTCTATTTCACAGCCGTCGTCACTTGCAGTATGTGGTCCGCACTCGACGCTTTTCCTGTATTCCGAAGGTTATACAGTTTATCGAATAGGTTACAAGGCTTCTGTCAACCAGGGGTGAGAGTGTAGAAGGAAAAGCAGACGTTCTTTGTGGTAGTGGGACTAAGCCTTTTAAAGGAGGTAAAGAAAGCGGAGATTCTGTAATAGTGCGCTTGTGTGAGAGCTCCCAGACAGCACAACAAAACGCTGAATTGCCTAGCCTCACGGTTGACAGATGTCCGGAGACACGTATTCCAAACACAGGGTAACTCTTCAAAGTGAGCGAATATGTACATAATGTGCAAGCCTGTTCAGAGACTGGAATTGATATTGACAAACTACTATGCATCCAGCTGAAGATCGTTCTAACTCGAAGAAAAATATTTTCGAAAATGGTAGTCCAGCGCATCTTTTCTAGCCGCTTGATCCTGCTCTGCTCTGGAGCGAAATTCGTCATTTCATCTTCTGGTTGATCACTTCTGCAACCTGGCCTTCAGGTAGTCTTATCCGGTGCCCATGGGGAAACCCTATGAGAAGTCTGTTTGTGAAATTGAAGTCCCAGTCAGGTGAGAGCAGGCTAGCGGTTTAAAGCGACCAAAATGGGTACTACTTGGCAAGACATGTTCGAATCTTCAAGAATTTCATAGGAATTTCGCAGTAATGGTTGTAAAAAGTCAAAAACTACAAGACAACCTATTAAATCCCCTGGTTAGCTTACTTTACGCCATTCTTGGCCGCATCTCACTATCGCTACTTACTATTACTACTATCTACGTTACTTTACGACAGCCGTGTCATCGCTTCTCACTTTTTACTCTCTGCCCCAATCACTTCATTATTCTTCATCACGACGTCGAGAAAACGTGCGGTTATCAATTTCGTCCTGGTCGAAAACAAGCCCCTTGAAACCTTTGACCTTGGTTTTTCTCTCCTTTGCGCTCATTATCGAAAACAACCCGTCGAACGACCCGTGAGTATCAGTGACTCATTGGTGCCTCTATCCGCTGAGTCACCTGTTACCGGTTTTGCCAGCGATTTGACCCTCAACGATTACACTTCCAACCTCCTCTCGGCAGACCAATAAATATCCCCGAGTCTGGCCCAGCCGGCTTTGAATTTATCTCTCTTTCGTTGTTTACTCCAAGCTTAAGCTTGAACATCTGGGCTTCGAGCCAAGCATTAACAAATGGCCCTGTTTCACGATGGTGAGCAGTGCTAATAGCAACTTTCGTCGACGATTAGTTTCGAGCCTCAGGTTTGGGGCTTACCGTATACTCCTTCTGGAATTCGGGGGAACAGGAATTAGGAATGGGGCTTGCTTGGGTCACAGGTTCCTTTTTCACAGCTTTAGTGACTTCCTTTTACAACCTCTTCATTTGCAGTAACCATACTATTGTGCATGGTTTCTCTTCATTCTCTGCCTTTTATGAAATTTCTATATAAAATCTTTCAATTGTTTCGGCGCTCATGTCCTTAGGGGGACATTTCTGAACAGGGCATTCAAAAACCGCTGGTAGGTGACACTACGACTAAGCCCAGGACTGGGAATAAACACAAGGGAGAATAATGTTTGCCCACAATTTCTTTCCCTTCCCTAAAGCTTAGTCCTGAGTTTTATCAGTGGCCCACCCACTCCAATGTCCCCCCTAAGGACATGAGCGCCCGTTTTGTGTTACAATATGTTCATCAAAGGTTTCGGCTACTTTCTACTAGTTCTAAAGAATTACTTTGTGCATAGTTAAGGAAATAGATGAAGGGATAGGGTAAAGCGTTCATCATTCTCAATTCTTTCCTGGGATGTGCGCCTTGCAATCCGTTTCAATTCAAAATCATAGTAGTACATTTTCGTATATGAGTGGTGTTAGAATGACTTGTGAATGCCGCTCGATGCACAAGTCAGTCAGCACTTCAACCCTCTCGGGCAGTTCGTTGAGTTTGCCCGTCATGGAAGGATCGAGGTGTGGGTTGGCCTGTATGGGATTTAAGCCGGATTTGTTCCCCTGAAAAGCCTTCTAAACTTTGGTCAGGTAGCTAGAGAGAGCTATTTTGAGACGAAGCATAGGAAAACATGTGGAGATAAACTAACGATTACGCAGACTATAAGCCGCTCATGGATATTTCAGCAATCCTAATTAGTCTGAAATTTTGTGATGTTTTGCTATTTTCCTGAGGAACTTGTGTAGGTGCTGTAACATGCGACCATATTCGCACTGTTCGTACGGCTTTTTCCTTCACTTTACAATCATGTTTAAACCCATTCGTGACAATGTCAGCCACCGGTGGCTGACAAAGCTCTCACTCGGGACAATGGCATTACTGTGGCTGCAGGGCTTGAAATGGAATTTGGAAAGTTTTCTTCCATGAAAAGAATCTTCATACCCTCGCTCATCTACGCCAGCCCTGGGCAGAGGAAATCTCCCTCCACTCGAATTTTATTGAAGAAAAATCTCCTGACTCTGCTGCTATTGCGCAATCCTGCGCGGTCGCGAATGGGTTAACCCTGATCAATTTGGAAACTGCTCAGAAACTTCAGAACTGGTGGACGCAAATCGGTTTGAATTTTTGCTCCTCTAACGGAAGCTGTTCGAGAGAAAAACCACAGATGGGCTCATTTTCTAGCTATCGTCATTTGGGGAATTGCTATTTTTGTCTTGTGCCTTAATTTCTTCAACGTAGAGTACTATTTACTAAGCGAAAACACCGTCATGTTGTATACTTCTCCACTGTGATTCAAAAAACTCACGGCAACTTTGTTAGATGAAGTGATTAATATTAATATCAATAGAGAGAATATTAATAGATTTTTTCCAACACGTCCGAACGATTAGAAGTGAAATTAATCTGGGCCATTGAACTTTCAGTAGAAGTACTAGAAGTGAAATTAATCTGCCATTGAATTCACTAGATTAATTTCACTTACTTGACTAAATGTCATATTTAGCCGTTTTCATTTAGTGTAAATGCTTCTGAATTTATTTTGCACTTTTTTCAGAGAACTCTTTAATGTACCTCTTTCCTTGAGTCTTTCAAGGCTAATCATGATAAAGAGCTTTCTTCATTTGAAGGAGTGAACACGGTGACTGGAGGGCGGAGCGGTTTAGGCGTAATTGGAGACCAAGGTGCAAAAGATTTCCAAGCGTGAGGGGAGTGGGGTATGGTTGGAATCATTCCTCAGTCACTTAACACCCTTCAGCATTAACGATAATGACGTCATTAAAACCGCTCCGCCCTCCAGCCATCAAATCACTGTCTTGAGACCTAAAATGTGAGCTGCGAAAATGCGTCAGGATTTACCTATCGCGACTGTTACGCGATTCCTAAAATTTCCTCAATCACGTAGCAAAACACAAATCGCTAATCTTTGGGAGCAATTTATTTCTCATAGTCGGGGATGGTGTCATGAAGCGATGTTCATGATGTCACTCAAGTCCCGCCCCCAAAGGATAAGAGGAGCGCGGAAGGCGGCGTCGGGTCAGCTTCGGTGGGAATCTGCGCTCGCGAGGCGGGAGGCTCCAAAAAGCCCGCTCGCTGGCAGCGACTACCCACCAATTCCGTCATCAGATTGTCCGGTCGGAAAACCCTAGCCGTACGGCCCAGAGGGTTGGAGTCCTTTGTCCCGTGCTCTGGAGAGGAAACCGGGCAAAATAGGACGGCTGGCGGACTCGCTTGGAACGTAGACCCTTCAAGATTCAAGAAATTCAAAGCCTCACGCGGCAAAACTTAAATTTCAAGCTCCAAATTCAAATCCCATCTTTAAACCCATGATATGTAATGTTATTGTGATTTTGGCTCACTGGTACGATTATAGAGTTCATAATAAACGAGATTCGCTGAGATAGTCTTTGCAAGAGAACCACCAAATCTTACATTTGGGAGTGATGCCCCAAAACAGATGGGAACGCATAGGGAAACATTATATGCTTCTCATACTTTCGCCTTTTTACCTGTAGGCCTTTTTCTCGCCTTGTCGCCTATCCGCTCGATTGTTAATCGTCTACTGTATATCGCGTCGATAGTTTGCCCGACGAAAAGTCATTTACTGACGTAACTACGGTTACTTGTCTGTAGGAATTACATAGAAACCTTGGTGGCAGGTGAGTCTTCCTTCCGTAGTGCGACCCCAAACATCACACCTCGTCATGCCCTTGCGATATGATCAGATTTTTTTCGGTTCTCCAGATGAACATAGAAGACACTGAAACCTTCTGAAGCATTTGAGAAGGAAGTTAGGGTGCTAATCCTCAATTTGCCTATGATTTTTTTCATTGGTAGTGTAGCATTACTGAAGTATTATGTGTTACCAGAGGTGCAAAACTAGTTGGAGCAGGGTCCAGCAGTCACGTTAACACTTTTTCAAAAATTTTGCGACCCCGCTCCCTTTGAGAGGGGGGGTCTCGATGCAACCCCCACTATAACCATCAGTCTTGGAAGACTCTTTCGCTCCTGCTCCGGTCACCACTCTCGAGCATCGTGACTCTTTCTATATACCCTAAAATCCCATAGATAAGAGCGGTTTAATTTACCGGTGAAAAATGAATTGGAATGAAATTGAAATTGAATGCAGTCACCCCTCTAACTTGATGGATGGATAAATAAAAATCGGAGAAGAAGTTTAGAAGAAGCTCCGTCCCTCAACTCTAAACCCCGCGCCCACTTAATAAACAATTCATATAGAAAAATAGCGATTTTAACGGAATTTCTGCCGGAATCTCTCTAGAAATGCCGGAATTTGATCTCTGGATAGAACTTGAAGAGCCCATTCGATCAGTAAAATTCCATAGATAAGAGCGGTTTAATTTACCGGTAAAAAATGATTTTGAAAAAATATTTTTATTTTTATTTTATTTTTGAAAAAATATCTATGGACCGCTCTTATCTATGGGATTTTAGGGTATTAATTTTGATATCTGAGATCAGTTGAGCCTGGTAACAAATAAGCCTACCTTTTCGTCGAAAAAGTGAGCAAGGAGTGGGGAAGGGGGAGTAACGGGGTTGGATACGGTTCGCTGATTCCCACTGCTTTCTCAAAACTCTCACCTAATCCATCAAAAAAAGAAACTTCGCAGACACAACCCACCTTTAACAACCTCCATCAAACTCCATTCCCACTATGACGATAAGCCTATTCAAACCTCGACCCCCCCCCCCCAACTTTCCGAAACCACAAATGCGATCCCTCGATCAAATAGGGCGAACGGAGGCTAAACCATGGTTGGAAGTTCAAACAATTATGTTCAACGCTTATGTATAACTGTATGAAAACCATCAAAAGTCTACATATTACTGCATGCATTTCTGGAATATGTGCAGTAATCGAACCGTAATCCCGGACCAAAGTGCGAATCTCATCTCGAATCTCGAATCTGGTATACGGATGACATGGAGAATCGCATTTGATTGCATATGTTGTGGTTACTTGTCCGAATGCATTACCGCAATTCTGAACTTGAAGTAGCTGACGGTCATCAGGTTTATGGGTGTTAGCACCTCGATGGTCATTTCGTTCAGGTGAAGAGCTCACTTGATCATTGGGCTTTTTTTTATGCATTTTCATCATTTCAGAGCTGTAGCAGTGCACCAACGCGTGCGTTAAGTTATTTGCTTTAATGATCAAAGAGATACATTAAAGGTAGAGTGTCAGAAACCTTCAAAACGAAATTTCAGCGGCCAGATCACGTTTTTCAGCAAAACCGTAGCAAATTGTATGGAAGACGTTTTGGCATTTGCACACTTAAAGACACATTCCACGGTACATTTAGGTGGATCACGTAGCCTTCGGTAGGTAGTGTAGAACAGTCCACAAAGGATGCAGGAGTGCCGCAGGGGCTCGAAAGTGCGCGACAACAGCGTTATAGTTCTGTCATGACCGCGAATGACCGTGGATGACCGCCGATGGCCACCGATGATGACAGCCCCTCTAACTGTTAATGTGTCTCTGCTCTCACTCATTGCTGTGCTATCTCGTCCCCAGTTTATTTTATCTCCTCAGCGCCCAGTATCTCACATCTCGGAGTCTGTCTGTTACACTGCTCAACTGTATAGAGAAAGAACCGCCTTTTTTCGATATTATCTAAGTTTTTTTTTCTTTACTGTTCTTCGGTGAATGTTTCTTTCATCTCGAGTGCAGCATCCACACCTAACCTGAAGACAGGGTGTGCCTTCTACTGAGCCATCTTTTCGTGAAGCCTTCTGTAAAAGTAAGCTTCTTTGTAAATTCACCTTTCAAGTTTCAACTGACATGAAACAATCATGCCTTCTAACTCTACCTATATCCTCTTTTTTCCTCTGACATCCTACATCCTCTTATTTACCAACAGATGCGGCCTCGACAATTCTGTATAGAAGTTTAAAATGTAATCTAACTAACCTTGTTCACTAACTAACTTGTATCTGAACTAGGGGGAGGGGAGGAGGGGAATGAGATCCGATCCCTCTTAGTGATCTAAACGTGCACCAATAGTTTAAAACTCCAAAATTTCATTGTGAAGGGCTCAATCTCAAAAATCTCGGCCTCCGAAGCTTTTCATAAACTTCACGCTATAGAATTTTTGTCAGGCCTGAAATAGTGCCTATCTTATTAGTGTAAGCCGTGCGCATGATGTACCACCATTTTCAGGTCCAAAGAGGTGAATAAGTAATCAAAAAGCGACAATAAATCTTATAATGTGTGGCTGATCGGAAATCATGTGTAATTTTGTTGTTTTCTCGCTCTTTCCTACAACACTGTAAACAACGATGAATCATTCGTTTGGGGGACATCATAGATCGAGCGGATTCAGTGAGACTCAGAATGACTGCCGTCTGCCGCGCTACCTTCTCCTTTGTAACATCGCCTACTATTCGAGCTCTTGAAAATGTTCTGTCTAGTGACGAAGATCTTATCAACCGCCCTGCCAACCTGGCTGATGCTGCCACTAAACTTTTTTTGAGATCTTTTGAAGACTATGCTGAACCACGGCAGAGATCGAACCCGGGGCACTCTGAGCTGCAGACCTGAGCCTGCATTCTTAACCACCCAACTATCCCGGCCTTAACGTCGGAAAACAGGAGGCCCTTGCGCATTCGTCCAGCGGAATTACCTGATGGAACCCCCTATTGAACGATCCTGATATTTTAAGGATAACCCATTAGCCCCAAGTTTTGAGAGCTATCCGAGCGATTGCCGTCTTCCCCAGCGTATCTGACGGAGTGACGGGAACAGTCCCAAAGAGAAGTAATCCTGGCGAAAAGGCATTTGAAGGTCTACAACTCTGTCCTCCTAAGAGGGGAGGGGTCTTGAACAGGGTCAACCGTTCGTTCGCATTATTCGGGAAAGGGGGTCACATTTGTGATTTCGGTAAGGGGGCCGCATTCAGGGGTTGAGCAAGGTCATCACAGTGGAAACGGAGGTTGACGGAGGTTCTTGTGAGGGTTTGTGATGGGAGGGGTTTTACTGACGAATTTGGTGGAATTTTTCAAACACAACTGCTAGATTTGCTCAGAAAGATCGATATATGGACGCGACTCTCCTAAGAGGGGAGGGGAGGGATCGCAAAATTTGAAAAAGTGCAAACGTAACGGCTGACCATCATCAGCCTCGAAAAGACCCCTCATCACCACCCTACCTTTTCCTCACCTCTGACCACAGCCTCATCATCATGGTTGTTTCTCACTCGTTGATTCTGAGGCTAGCCGACACTTCTTCTACCCTACAAAACGGCCGTCGAGCGAAAGATGAGGGGAGGGAGGGGCATGTGTGGGAAAACGGCAACTTGCAACATCCTCAGTGTTTCTCGTATTTCTTGGTAAGTTTTCTCGCCAACATCTTAAGCCCTCAAAACGAAGCTCTTCTACTCCACAAAACAAACACGACCTCAGTCCCGTTCGTATTTTTCCAGTGGACGGAGTGACCTCAGTGATCTCAAACACGACCCTCTCTCAAAACCATCAATGCGACCCCCATCTAGCACGTCCAGACGGTCAGGTGACTCTCCTAGCAAATCGCCCAGTAACGAAACCATGCGACTGACGGAACCTATCAACGGTTTGTGGCGCCGGTTCGAAACACTCTACATTGAACGTCTTGAACATGAATTCTGGTGCTTCTCTTTTCTGTGTCCGAAACTCATCCACATCAGTGTTTCATTTCTCGATACCGCCACCACCGCCTTATCGACTTTTGTGCTTAAGACCACCTTTAGTCAGCCTTATTGTTTTTCAGAAATGCGCTGTATACTTGTTTGTGCTATCCTGGGCTATGCGACGGCCGTCGAACTGTTTGGAAGGGATCAGTCATCCGCAGTAAGTCAACTCACTTTTTTTTCTTGATTTTTGGCAGAGAATAATTCGAGTAGGGCGAAGTGAGAGCTTGGAATCGCCAAAATTTCTAGAAAAGTCCTATTCTGATATGCTCGAGTTATTACGAACCTATGACCTGTGAACAATGATAAGCATTAGCAATGAACTATTTCAGGTAAGAGGCAAGCTAATTTGCGATGGAAGACCAGCTGCTGGAGTCAAAGTCAAATTGTGGGATGTTGACCGAAGTGAGACCGTTAAAAATTGTTTTCTATCGAAAAAATAAATAAGTTTTTTATGTCGAAACTTTATGCTCTCTTCTCTCGAAGCATCGGCGTGAAGTGGTAAAATACTGTCTTTCATATATCGTATATTTTTGTTTAGTTAAACAACTTTTCCTCTATTCATCTGTTTTGATCGGCAGAAAGTAGTGCAGTGACAAGTGGCACGCTTACCACGCGAGCGGTCCGGGATCAAATCCTGGGTCGTGAGTCGCCCGGGCCAACCAAGCCTTCCATCCCTCCGGGGTCGGTTAATTGGTACCAGACTTGTCTGGGAGGATAAAAAACACTGACTTGAACATCGGCTGGCCCCCGCAAGTCATTGTATAGGCCACATCGCATTCAAACGCCACTACGAATGTACAAATGGAAGTAGAATGCGTGCCGCATCCCAAAAGGGATTGATCAACGGCAAATGCTTTATCCTTATCCTTCAATCGGGAGCGAACATTGAAGCTTCTGGGACGGCTATAGATGCCGACAAACCTTCACCTCTCGAGGGGTTAGGCAGGCTCGGGAATAAAACTGGTATGTAAGACCGCTTTGCGGTCAGGACCGAGCTGCGGAATGACTGAAAGTGGAGAGAAAAGCAAGAGAATCTATCGGGAAGGCGAAATTGAGACCTCAATCTACAGTAACGTCGAATGTGGCACCGACGCACACTGATCTCTATATCAGCCAGGTGGGTGGGAAGCGTTGCAACGGGAGTCGATGGTTGCAGGCCCGTAAGGATTAGCGCCCTAATCGCGCAATTTTTGCGACGAAGCTGGAGTGATCTAGGTAGGTACGGACCCCACAATTTCCCTCGCGGTATCCTTCCTACTAGTCGGGCTAATCCCGGGGTTTGTCTTAAAGGTAATTATGGAAGTTGGTAATCGGTGGAAAAATTGTCTGGTACGATAGAACGTAGACTTCAACATATGTATGCTGACCTCGGAACTCTGTTCACGGATTAGTAGTAGAAGTATATCTACGACATGACTATTTCCAAATGACTTTCGAATACGTGGCGCAACCCTTGCCAAGTGATCGAGTCACTTCAAGAGAACACGCAGAATCAGTTGGTTTCCTGCTCAGTCAAGTATAACCAACGTTGAGATACTTGAATTCTTACATGCTCTCCATCTACTAACCCACTCCCTAATCAGCTGATTTCATCCACTTACTTAGTTGAAGCCATATTAAGAATGGAATCAAAACCCAATGAAGAGTTAGAGGTACTTCCCATAGCGAACTGTGGCGAAAAACAGTGTTAACAAATCGAAATTAAACAAATACACATTCGCAAACATGTCATTATTATTGTTGTTTATTTATAATGTGTTATCTTATTATACTGTTTATTTATTTATTTTCTGACCATTTATTTGCTTATCTGATACCTAAGTGAACGATCTGTTCAGCGGACATGGACGACCTGATGGACGAGAAAACGACAAACAGTAATGGCGAATTCCAATTATCCGGATGGACGAAGGAATATACCACGATTGACCCCAAGCTCAGCATCTACCACGACTGCAATGACGGCATCAAGGTAGGTTTTAGAAAGCTTCATAGTGGAAAAGGAGAATACAGCTGTCGTTTCTTTACAGCCCTGTCAACGGAAGTTCTCCATCCTGATTCCCGACAGCTATGTAAGCCATGGTAAAGTACCGAAAAAGGTGGGTCCTGAGTTCCTCAAATGAGATTGTATCACAATTGTCGGCAAAATCGTCAGCCTCTAGACGTTAAATTAGGGCTTCAAATGAGAAAAAAGTTCTAAAGAACAAAATATACGATGCCAGAAGCGAAATATAATAAAAGCAGATGACTTCGAAAGGGTCAACCCTACGTTGGG